AAACTTTGTGAGTTTAGTATTGTATATTTTACACATAGCGCCCTTAGCACGTTCCCAGAATTTATTCGCCTGACGAAATAGTATAAATAAAATAGTATCACTTCCTGCTTTTACTTCACCTCACTTCCCTGTGAGGAACTGTGAGGCTCGTTACTGCGCGTTCTAAATGGACACTCTACTATCTCGTAACCTTAAATGTCCGTGTGGCCTTGTACACAGTAAATGTACACTCTTCTATTTTCAAGCAGTATTTGCAGTACATAAAAGCTTAAGAATTTAACCGGATCTCATGAGGTAGGTTATTTAAATATGAAATGTTTTCTATTGGAGTTAAAAAATCAAAAACTCTTTTAAAGCTGTCATAAGTTATTCAGCGAATTGGCAACTCTATGGCCAACGAACACTCATCGGAAAAAACAATGCAAGCTGCGCTGTTGTCGTAGATGTTTGGTCGTTAGCTGCGAACAGCGGCAGCAGTAGTTGATATCTACGAGGTACATATGTATGTATGTGTGCATTTCATTCAGCGTGGGTTTTGTGAGCCGCTCATTGAAAGTCCATTCACCAGTCTGATTTGAGAAGGCGAATAGATTGGTAGGACTAGTCGGACGCCTAACTGATTTAACTGCCAAGCAAAAATACAAAAAAAAAAGAAAAGAAATACAAACGATCACAGTGGCACAGCATACAAACACCGTGTGCTGAAGTGTCACCAACAACAACAAAACACCAAAAAAATTAAAAACCACTCTAAAACAACTCTAAATTATTAAAACAGCTTCATTACTCAGCAGTTATTAGAGCCAAGACAACAGACACTCAGTCACTCCGATAAACGAACAAACGCAAACGCGGAGTAACCAAACTACCAACCAAGCAAAGCAAGGCAATCGCGTTAAGCCAGATACAGTAGCGAAAACGTCCATTTGTAATTTTTCCATATGTAATTGCAATACACAAGCGGCAAACGTTTTCTGTTCAGCGTTATTTGGGAGAGTAAACTAAACAGAAGCTGTAGTGATATAAAAAAAGAAAATAAAATCAAAAAAGTGCAGTAGCGCATGAAAAATTCTCGAAATGATTTAGAAAAGTGTTTCAAATTAACTTAAGAATTGTAAAAAAAAGTGTTTTTTATTTGATATACAAAATAAATTATCGCACAAATAGCAAGCCAGAATGAAAATATTTTAAATGCAATAATCCAAGAGCTAATTTACACACGAAATTCAAAAAAAAAAGGTAAGAAACCAACGAGCTAGATAATAAATAAATAAATAAATTATTTTATGGCCAAAATATTGTAGACAGTTTCAAATAAAAAAATTCGCAATAAGTTAATAGGCGAGGACAAAACGAAACGGTAGAAGAAAAGGTATATAAAAATTTGCATAACCGAAAACGAGTTGAAACAAAAATTAAAAAGAAAAGGTTGAAGACCAATACCATTAGTATGCGTTAACCAACAAAAAAAAAAAAAAAAACAAGAAACAATAAAAAGTTACGAAGCCATGGCTGAAAACCATGCAAAAAACTACAAAAAGAAAAAACTAAGAACATCTCGTTTGGAGTTTGTGTCATAAACTACTCTTAAAAAATACAAACACATTAAACGGGCTTCAACACCAACACCACCACCAGTACTAAAGGCGGCAACGTGCGGCTTTCTATAAAAAAAATAAAAACAAAAAAAAAAACTAATAAAAGTACGTAGAACGAACAACAGTGTCACAGCAGAAGCTGCGATGGCCAAAGCAGATACATTAAGAGCACACGGCAACACTGCCCTGCGCCGGTGACGGTGACGGTGACGGTTACGGCACACCGATAGATAGAAGAGTGCTAACGCTATATACATAGCATTAAAACTCAAAACCAGTTTCGAAATTACATTGATATGCATATGGGAACAAAAACAATACGTATATATGTGTATGTAACAGGCAAAATGAAGTGCATGCTATATACTCACATACTCGTATGTATGCATGTATTGCATTGTATTGTATGAGAGTTCGCTACAGAACCCGTATAAAAGATTTGTATGCCATTCCCTGCCAGCCTGCGCGCCTAACTGCAAGTATCTACCACCCCAATGTGGTGAGAAGAACTTGACACATGTGAACTGCATACATACATACATACATAAATACATACATACATACTTGTATAGGAATATGCAACTGCTGCATGCAACAGTACAAAAGAATAACATAATTTTGAGTTTTTTCCGAATGAGCTTAAAACATTGAAATTTTAAAACCAGACTGAGTTCTGCGTGAGCACACGCCGCACGAGTGGTGAGTCTAGCGTAGTTAACAACAAATTACAATACAAAAAATTACGAAAAAGGAGAGCAAAAATTCGTAAAATTTTATAGAACTGGAAATGAAACGTTTGCTGTGACACCTTTTGAAATTGAAAGAAAAAAAAATTAATAAAAAAAAGAGCTCGAGTTCCGACTGGTCTGCCTGCTTGACAAAGGTTTGAAGAAGGTTCAAGCAATGAGTGAAATACAAACAAACAAATGTACATATCGGGCAAAACTATTTGGTGAATAAATTATGTGTATCTTCAGGTATGCATGTGTGTGAAAGTGTGAGGTGAAAATGCAAATTTCTGATTTCGAACAATGGTTACCCAAAGCAGTGAATACTAAATAAAAAAACAAGGCAAAAAACATCAAATTTACAAAAAAAAACTCTTTAAAAATATATGCTGAAAGTCAAGCAACCATATAACATAAATTTACATAAATATAACATACACATATGTACATGTATGCGTGTATTTACTCATATATGTATAGTATCAGCATTTGTGTTCAAAACATTATTCTTCACTGTAGAAAGTTAGAATCGACTTTATGAGGCATACCCAAACAAACATATTTATCTTTAGGTGTAAATATTCATATTTAGGAGTTGGTTAAAAAATACCGTTTCGCTTTTAATGAACATCATTAAAATTTGCATTTGAAAGAGTTGCTTATTTTAAAGAATAAGAAGAAGGTGAAGAATGGAAGGTTTCATAAATTATGATTTCTTTCCAACTTAATTAAAGCAAAAAAAAAAAACAAAAACGCAAAATAATTCGCAACAAAAAAAATATTTTTTTTTTTGAAATTTAACTCTCAATAAAAGACAAATCAAGCAAAAAAATCTAAAATAAAATACTAGTTAACAACTCATCAATTTCACGTCCTAAAAATTTCTATTCTTTGTAGATTTTCAAATTATAAAAAATATTCATATTTCAAAAGAGAAAATAATAAAAAAATCATCACTTTAAGCTTTTTAAACGATGCAATAAGTATTCTTATACATGTATAGGGTGTTCAAACAAAAAAAAAAAAAATTTTACCAACTCAAAGGTACATACATACATATTTACAAACATATATGAAAAAGAGTTTTTGAAATATATGTAAAAAAAAAGTATTTTACAAAAAAAGGCTTATGCTATTGAGAGCAGCACTCATAAAAAAAAAAAATAAAAATAAAAAAAAAATGTAAAATGATTGTTTATTTTAAACATAAAAACTGGTTCTACAATAGCATAAAGAGAATGTATTTTTTCTTTGGCAGAACTCCTACGAAAAAATCAGTAAAATTTGAATATGTGTTTAAGTTTTTAACAGGATCGGTTCAAATCAAAACTAAATTTAAAAATAGGACTTCGAAATAACGGTTTTGTAATTTTTAGCATGTATAAAACTGACTTTGAGCGCGTAACAAACAAAGTTTGTAATTCCGAAATTTTCGATTCGATTGGAAATGTTATAGAATTTAATGAGAAAACAATAAAATTTGAAAACTATTCCAACAACTTCAAATTTTTCTATAACTACATATGTACATATGTTTACAGTATTTACAAAACTAACATCATTATGACATCATATCATCATTTTTTTAGCAGACATACATATATATACGTACGTTTCAGTTCACTTCCATGTATAAATATACAATATATATTTTTTGAGGTAAAGCTTTTCATAAAACCGCATGAACTGTTTGATTACGCAGAAATTGCCAATACCACTGAGATTCAGCTGCACATAAGCTTCATTATTACAGAAATAAATTTGAGTCACGCATCTTATCTGCTTCGGAATGAAATTGCAAGAAATCGTTGGTACTTTAATTATATGCTTGTAAGAATGGTTTGGTTTGATGGTATGTATGTTTACATAGGGAACATTGCAATTTGACCTCATGAATAAATATATTTTAACAAAAAAAAAAAAAAAAAAATGCAACTAAATATCGCTGATTTTAGATAAAATCAAATAAAGTTATTATTTCATAGCAAAAAAAAAAAAAAAAATTATGAAAAATAAAGTCCATACACTTTTGGTTTATTAAAACGTTAAATAATTATTTTTAATATTAAATAACAAAATTATGTATTTTAACAATGTGAAAAAACAAAAATAACAATTTAATTTTTTTTTTCAAAATATGATAAGGAATTTAAATATTAGAAAAAAAATTATTTTTATCAAATCATTACACAGAAAACAATTGTTTGTAAACAAATTAACAATTAAAAGCCATAAATATCCCGTACTAAAAAGTGTCAATGCAATGTCTGGTTGTGGCTTTTAACTATCGCACAGTTTCAATTAACAGTGTACGCGAAAAGTGTGTTCACTCGTAAGCATCAAAACTCATAAACACACTCACAAAGTGGTGACCACAAATTACTAGTTGTTTAGACGCCAATATGTAAATATGAAACTGTCAAGAAAACACTATCAAACAAATTAATAATGGATTTAGTGTATACAAAAGCAATAATTGTTTAATTAATTTGCAAAAAAAAAATATGAGCTTACGTAATAATTGAATTTACATATTCATACATATAGATCAATTTATGACTATTTTTACGAATTGTATCTACATAAATTATATATTTTTTATATACATACTTTTTTCTTTTATTAGTTATTGGTTTATTATTTATTATGTTTTGATTTTCTTTTATTTTTCCAGTGAAAAGGCGAAAATATAAATAATAATTTTTGGCACTAAAGTACTGTTTACACTTAAAAAAATCAATAGAGTTTTAGCTTGAGTAGATCACTATTGATCAGGCAACAAGATGGCTCTCTTCGGAATGGTGTCAGCCGTTTCCGGCTTTGTAAAAATACGTAGTCTTTTGGATCGTGCTGTTATCGATAACATGGTTTTCCGTTGCCATTATAGAATTACAACAGCGTTATTGTTTTTTTGTTGTATTATCGTAACGGCAAATAATTTAATTGGTAAGTATAACAAGTTACATATTTGAAAAAATTAAAATAATTCAAATAAAAGAATAAAAAATAAAATGAAAGGAATAAAAAATTAAATGAAATGAAAGGAAAAAACAAAATAAAATGAAATGAAAGGAAAAAAATAAATGAAATGAAATGAAAGGAAAAAAATAAAATGAAATGAAAGGAAAAAAATAAATGAAATGAAATGAAAGGAAAAAAATAAAATGAAATGAAGGGAAAAAAATAAAATTAAATTAAAGGAAAAAAATAAAATGAAATGAAAGGAAAAAAATAAAATTAAATTAAAGGAAAAAAATAAAATTAAATTAAAGGAAAAAAAATAAAATTAAATTAAAGGAAAAAAAATAAAATTAAATTAAAGGAAAAAAATAAAATGAAATGAAAGGAATAAAAAATAAAATGACATAATATAAAATAAAAAGAAATAAAATAAAAGGAAAGAAAAATAAAATAAATTAAATAAAATAAAACAAAATAAAGTAAAACAAACTGAATTGAAATAAAAGAGCAAAAAAGAAGTAAAGTTAAATAAAATAAAATAATAAAATATAATGAAATGAAATACATTAAAATAATATAGAATAAAATTTAATGTAGTAAAAAAGTTAAAGTAAATATTGTAATTTAAAATAAAACATAATAAAATTAAATAATATACTTAGACTACATGAAAAGAAATAAAATATAATAATATGAAATTAAACAAAAAACTAAATAAATAGAAAAATTGTAAAGGAAAATAAAATAAAGTGAAACGAACTCAAAATAAAATTAAAAAGAAAAAAATATAATAAACTTAAATAAAACATATAATTAAATAAAATTAATGTAAATGAAATGAAATAATAAAAAAATAAGATTAAATTAAGTCAAACAAAATAAAAAATAAAATATATAGAATAAAACAAAAATTAATTGAATTAATAAAATATATAATAAATGAATATTAATAAAATAAAATAAATATAATGAAATAAAATAAAATAATATAAAATTATATAAAATAATATAAAATAATATAATATAAAAATGAATTAAAAAAAAAAAATGTAATTAAATTAATTAAAAAATGAAATGAAAAAAGTAAAAAGTGGATTTTATGGAAATTAAATTATATTTGATGAAAAACAAATCAAATAAAATGAAAAGGAAATTAAATTATATTAAATAAAAAAATATAAGAAATTCAAATTAAATAAAAAAGAATGAAATTTAATTAAATTTCATTATAAAAAATAACACTATAATAAAGAAAATAAATAAAATTTTTATGATATTAAATTACATTTAATAAAAACGTAAAATAAACTTAAGTAAAAAAAAAAAAAATTAAAAAAAGATTAAATTTTATAAAATAAAATAAAAAAGTGAAATTAAATTCTAACAAATTTTATATATTAAAATTAAATAAATGGAAAAAATGAAATAAAATATAGAATAAAAGAACGTTTGTACGTTCTTAATAAGGAATAAAAAAAAAACAAATAAAATAAAGAAAAATAAATGAATTGAAATGAAAGAAACATAAAAAAATATGATGGGCAAAAATAAAAATCAAAGAAAACTAAAACTAAATTAAAAAATTTAAAATCACAGATTGATTATTAAATGAAAGAAGTAGATAAATATTTGTTTAATTGAAGAAAAGTTAGATTTTTAATATATTTCAGCACAAATTTATCAAGCTTATGCTCAATTGATTTCGATAATTACGAATAATTAGCATATGTTTAAAAAAAAACTTTATTTGAATAGATTTTATATTCATAAAATCAGCCTTCACAGAGAATATTTTTTTACTCCTAAAATGCTTTAATCAAACAACACGATTCACAATTGAAGTCCTAAATGCATAAAAAATACTGTACACATTCAAAAATTTAATGGTATTATGTACAAACATATATACTAATAGATCAAATATTTGTATGAGCATTAATTAGCACGTTCACACACACACGGCAAAAAATAAAACACATTTTTTTTTTTTTTGTTGAATGCAAATGAATAGAAAATTTCAAAAGATCTTTAACAAAAGTTAGTTAGCTGGTAATAAGCCGGCAAACATAATGGTCGCATGAAATTTTATATGTACGTTTGTGACTTTTTGTTTTCTTTGCATTGCATTGCACATCAGCGACGCGCGTCATATTTTGTGCTAGACAATCAACTTTCACCACACACACATATATACAAGTATATGTACAATGTATTTTCGTATGTATTTTGGTGCATTGAATTCGTTGATGCTCGTCCAAGCCATCTACGTACCTTCGCCTGCTACGTGTATGACAACTGTCGCCCGCAGTTGAGTGTTGCATTTTAAGCTTACTCTATTACACCTTTTGTGTAATAACAACAATATGCATTGAGCTTAAACGTTTAGTGGCGAAGTGTAAATTGAGTAGCGCACGTTTTTACAAACATACATTAATGGTTTTAATTTTATTTTTATTTTTATTTTTTTATATTATTTACTCTTTAGTTATGCGCGTTTGCGCAAATGTGCACAATTAGCAGAAAATTTGAAAAATAAAAAAAATAAGGAACCTAAAAAGTAAAAAAAAAACAGCAAATATTATCAGGTTGAGCAAAAGGCTATTGATTTACTGCAATGCTGTTTTGTATACTTTTAAATATATTTTTAAATTTGATTGTTGTTAAATATTGTTTCTGCTTTTTTTTATCACAGCTCAGACTTTTTTTACATTTTTTTATTTTCTCAAAAATTAGGAGTGTGTAAAATAAAAGCCAAAAATTTACAAAAAAAAATTTAAATGCAAAATTTTACTTTGAAATCTCAATTGTTTGTTTGAGCTCCATTTCTGTCTGAGTAAAATCGCCACGATTTCAGCAATACGTAATCTGATATATGTACATATATGTACAAACTTAAGTCACTTTAATTCTAATTTTTTTTTGGTTTTGCTTAATTCTAGTTTTGTGTATTGTAGATATCAAGTTTTCCATATGAACATATATACATATATATGTGCTTTTATTTGTTGACGAATCAGCGAGTTGAATGTCACGTAAGTGGCACAAACCGCACACTTTAGTGATTTAGCAGATTTATTTCGTTTCATTTTAACGGTTATGTACTTAGAAATGAGACATGAATCATTTCAGTTGATTGGAGTTCAAAGAAATCCATGGGCTTTATGCGTTAATATCCTTATTTACAAAACATATGCGGTATGTAAACCCTTTGTGTGTATACTGAGATGCAGATAAAACAAAATAAAAAAATAATTTAATTTAAATAAATTAAATATAATTAATTATAATTAAAATTAAAACAAAAAAATTGAGAAAATATAAAAAAAAAAAATAAAAAAAAAAATTAAAAAAAAAAAAAAATTTAAAAAAAAAAAANAATAAAAAAAAAAAAAAAACAAAAAAAAATAACAAAAAATAAATAAAGAAAAAAAATTATGAAAAAAACAAAAAATAAGAAGGAAAAATTAAATAAAAAGCATGAAAATAAAAAATAAATATATAATTAATCAATACAAAATGAAAAAACAAAATAAATTAAATTAGAAGATTAAATAAAATAAAAAATAGTATGGAATAAAAAACAAAAAAAAATCAAGTAAGATAAAAGTAAAAAGTTTAAGAAAATAATAATAAAACAAAATACAATAATATGAAGTAATAAGCAAATAAAGGAACAAAGCAAACTAAAATAAAAAGTAAAATAAAATAGGTAAGATAAAAAATAAATCATAAAATAAATAAATCAAATTATAAACGAAAAAGTAAAAATAGTTAAAAACGCATGCAAATCAAATAACATTAAAAATTAAATAAAAATAATGAACAAAAATAAAACAACATAAAATAAAACAAAAGAATAAGAAGAAATAAAAGAATATGAAGTAGGAAATTCAGAAAAAAAAAACAAAATAAAATAAGATAAAAAATTGAATAAGGCAAAATAATATATAATAAAGAAAAATAAAAATAACAAAGTAAACAAAAAAATTAATTTAATATAATAAAAAAATACATGCTTTCGCTCTTACACAGTTGACCACGTCGCCTTTCCCCAGTGAGTGTACGGCACTCCCTAAATTCAACACACATTAACTCCAACGCGACTTGAAACTCACAAGTCATAAACCTATTTTCAAAAAAAAAGTGACAAGTGCCCCAAGCTTTTGTTGAACGCACTCTATGCTGCAATCGTTTTCATAGCCTTGCAAGCATCATGTACATTACATACAAACATGCATATGTATATGCAATCTTTCTAAGCCTTCAATATCTACATACATATGTAAGTATGTGTGTATCGGCATGACTTATGATATTTGTTTATTATTTTTATCTGCATATACATACATATATATGCATGTAAATATAGTATATAGTGTGTATAGTGATTCCACAAACGACAGTCGGACGACCAGCAAGCAAATAAGTAGCTTGTTAGCCACACAGCAACTTAAAACTGGATTTTCTGAAATGCATATGCAACTTTACATACACATGCATATATACACGTACATATATGAAGATAAAAGCATGCATATTTGTTTGCTTACTACATAGTGTATAATTTAATTTCTTCAGAATATAAAAATATTTATTTGTTTTTAAATAAAGTCCACTTACATACATTCATATGTACATATTCAAAATCACATAAAGAGGTCACAACATAGGCAAGTGGCTCTTATCTTTCATATATATATAATATAATATATGAAACAAAATGCAATAAAAAAAGTTAAAATAAAAATAAATCATAATAAAAAAAATTAATATATAAAATAATACAATACAAATAAAATAAAATGTATCTTTAAATAAAAAAAAATATTTAGGTATGTACATATGTATATCAACCGCCCGCTTAATCTTTACTCAAAGCTCAGTCTTAATTTGACTAATTTTGTATGCCATTTATAACCATTTACAGTTTGAATCTACTTTTCTTCGCACCTCAGCTGTTATTGAAATTTATGTAAATTCATACATATATATGTATATAATTCGACCACAGCATTCACACGCCCACACTATGTAATGCATACAACTTCAAATACTGCATATGTAAATGCAATATGTATTTTCATTCATGTGTATATAGTATGTACCAACATATGTTGCTACTTTGCGCTCTCGTGTAACATGACTTTTCATTCGCCACAGAGAAAATCATAACTAATTCCTGCTGATCACGGTAATTTCAATAAAAAAATGTTTTAAGCTCAACTGAGCCTAATCACACATTTCCTAATGATGCTGCACGCTGCGTGGGCGAAGAAAATCAGAGTGACTTCGTTTAACGTTGACGTAACGTAAGCCGTCACAGCGGGATTTCAAAGAAGTGGAATTTTTCATTTACAAATGTACATAATAAGTATACATACTAATAAATCAATATTTGTATATATACATATGTCTCTACATATATACTGTGGTTTAGCTGAGGCACTCGCTATTACAGGTTAAGTAGAAAATAACAAAAAATAAAAAGAATTAAAATTGCTAAATAATAAAAAGGAGGAAATACAAAAACAAAAATAAATAAATAAAAACAGAGAAACAAGTAGTTGAATAATTTATGCATGGTAAGATAATAAATTTGGAATTTAAAAAAAAGAATTAAAATGAACTCAAATAAATAATAAAGTCAAATATAATGGCATAAAATAAGACGAAATAACATAAAACAAAATTAATAAAAACAAAAAAAAAAATATAAAAAAAAAATAATATAATATAAAATTAAATGGAGTAAAAAATTATTTAAAGTAAAATGAAAAAATAAAAAAATTTATATAAAATTAAGTAGAAAAGAAAAAATAATTATTCAAACTAAACTAATAAATAAAGTTAAATAATGAAAATCAAATCAAACGAAATAAAATAAAAAGAAATGAAACGAATAAAACTAAAATAAAAAGTAAAAAAAGAATATGAAATAAATTAATATAAAACAAAATTAAATAAAATGCATTAAGTAATTAAATTAGTTAAAAGAATTAATTCTAGTAAAGTAAAATACAAAAAGAAAAATAATAAAATTAAAAAAATTATAAATAATTTATTAAATTACAATAAAGTAAAATAACTGAAATAAAATCAAACAATCTTGAAATAAAATTGAACAAAACCAATTTAAAGTAAAGGGAAACAAAATAATGTAAAATAAAAAAACTTAATAAAAAAATTAATTCATGTAAAATACGTAAAAAGTAATAATAGAAAAAATATATAATAAATTAATTAAATAGCAATAAAGTAAAATAACTGAAATAAAATCAAACAAAAATAAAATAAAATTAAACAAAACAAATACAGTGTAAGGGGAAACAAAATAATATAAAATAAAAAACTCAATAAAAAAATAATTAAGTAAAATAAATAAATAATAATAAAATTAAAAAAAAAAACAATCAATTAATGTAAACTACAATAAAGTAAAATAATTAAAATCAAATCAAACTAAACAAAATAAAAGTAAATGAAAAAAATTTAAAAAAAATTTAAAAATATATAATATAAAATAGACTAATATAAAACAAAATAAAAAAAGTGCAAAAACAAATTAATTGCAGTAATTTAATTAAATTTCTATAAATAAAATAACTGAAGTCAAATTAAACACAATTAAATAAAACAAAGAAAATATGACATGCATAAAATGCGCTAACTCCATATTGTTATATACTATACATACAGCGTTTTAATTTCATGTTACTTTATATTATTTTATATCATTCTTTATTTTATTTCATATTACCTTATTTTAATTAATTTATAATTTTTTATGTATTAATTAAATTTATATTATTTTGATTTAAATTATTTTTTCATATTATATTAGTTTGCTTTAAATAGTCTGTTTTATTAATTTTTGATTTTTTTTCATTTGATATTATTCTTTTTTTATTAATTTATTTAATTTTATTTTACTTTAATGTAGTTTACCTTAATTAAGTAAGTACATTCAAATTTATTTATTTCAATATAATTTTATTTTATTTTTTGTTCTTTTTATTTAATTTAAGTTTTTAGTGTAGTTTTTTTAAGTTACATAATCGAAAACGAAAAGAGATAATCCTCCAACGGTATTTGTAAATTTCAATTGAGACAATAATGGTATTACACATTAGGCGGCTTCGATGCCTTTTTAAAGTAGTTTTAAGTTAATCTGGAAATTTGATAATATTCTTTCGTTTTTTTGGAGTTTGATATAGAAGATCTCATCGTTGTAGTCTACACACGATCCTTTTTAAGAATATTTTGTGGATTAGTCAAAATTATAAACTGATAATAAAATTCATAAAGCGCAGTTTGCTATCGATATGACTAAATATTAACAAATATTTATATTAACTTGGACTGCTTTGGAATGAATGCTAACCAATGCATATTTACTACTTTTAGGTGATCCGATCGCTTGCATCAACGACGGCTCCATACCGATGCATGTCATTAACACTTTCTGTTGGATTACGTACACGTTTACTATACCGGGTCAGCAGCACCGTCAAATTGGTACCGAGGTAGCAGCGCACGGTTTGGGCAATGAGTATGGACAAGAGAAACGTTATCACAGTTATTATCAGTGGGTGCCATTCGTATTGTTCTTCCAGGTGAGTGTGGTTGAAATTTATGCCAATAAAAAAATAAAATATGTAAATATATACGAGTATATATTCATTGAAAACAAAAAAAAAAAATTAAATATTTTCTCTTCCACCAGGGTCTCATGTTCTACATACCACATTGGATTTGGAAGAATTTGGAAGATGGCAAAATGCGCAATATAACTGAGGGTCTGCGCGGCTTCATCACCATGCCTGAGGATTATCGCAAGGATCGTCAAGCGCGTATTATTAAGTATTTTGTCGACAGTTTAAGCACACATAGCAGTTACTCCTTCGCCTATTACTTTTGTGAGGCTTTGAATTTTGCTAATGTCGTATTGAATATATTCTTGGTGGATAAGTTTTTGGGTGGCGCATTCCTGACATACGGTACAGAAGTAATTAAATTCTCGAATATGGATCAAGATCATCGTTTCGATCCGATGATTGAAATCTTTCCACGCTTAACCAAATGTACTTTCCGTAAATTCGGTCCTGGCGGTTCACCACAGACACACGATACCTTGTGTGTGTTGGCATTGAATATTTTGAATGAGAAAATCTACATTTTCTTGTGGTAAGCAATAAATTTGTGTGAAAAATGTGAAAAGTACTCATAAAAAATATATATTTGTTTTGTTTTTTTTGTTTTGTTTCTCAGGTTCTGGTTCATCATTTTATCCGTGATCTCTGGCGTTGCTTTGGTTTACTCACTCGTCGTCATTATGATGCCGACTACACGCGAAACTATTATCAAACGCTCATACCGCTCCGGACAGAGCAAGGAAATTCAATTTTTGATTCGTCGTTTGGACGTGAGTTGGAATAACGAAATATTTATGATTTTTATTATACAAATACATATGCATGTGTTTTTCTACTTTTCATAGATTGGTGATTTCCTTGTTTTGCACTTTTTGAGTCAAAATCTCAATACAAAGTATTACTGTGAAATGGTACATGAGCTATGCACCATACTTACGAATTCCCGCACGCCATCTGCACCATCTACAATGGAAATGCAGAATATATATCCAGCAGTAGATCAATATGGCAAGGAGACCGAGACATAAATGCAAGTGAAAGTTGATAAGACCGCAAAAAAATTTTCTTTAGAAAAAAAAAAAAAAAACAAACGAAAAATGATTTGAAAAGATAAGGCAACAGAGGAAAAATGACGGTAAAACCACAAAACACTAAAAATGCCATTATAAAAATGTAATACAAAAATATGCAAAAGACACATGAAGTTAAGCAGTAGAGAGTGAACCTAATAGATACGGTTAATGCAATCCTCCATTTAAATAAATATTATTCATATGATTTGCTGTTCGCTCTACCCCAGAAGCAATTCAATGAAAATGGGAAAATAAAATAAAAATTACACCAACAATGAAGATATACATAATTTTCCTGCATACTTAAATTTAAGACTGTTTATTTCGAATTCTGGTAAAAACAGAAAATTTGAACAAAAAAACTTGTGCCAAGCAAACACAATTAAAGACAGAAATACAAAGTAAAATATGCTTTATACTAACAAAGTTGATAACATTATAAAACTTGAAGGTACGCATGAGACTATCATGATCGCTACAGTGCAATTTTCGTTATCCTTTTTAAATAACACTTTACAAAGCATCGGTCGTGACATAGACATTCACTTATACAAACATACATATACGCACAATAAACGAAAACACCAACAATTTACTTATAGAATTTATTATATAAACAAATAATACGAATACATTGTCTAATAGATATTGCTCAAAGCCAATATAAATATGTACTCGTAGGGGGAGCGCAGAATAAATAAAAAAAAATATTTCTAATAAATTTTATTCCAACTATGTATGTAAATGTGTGCTTGGCGTACAAGCAACAATTACCTTCCACTACAACTACTTTTAAACGTTTATTTACTTTAATTACGTATGTGCATTTCTATTTTATAACTTTTTAGTTGTTAAATTTAAAATGTAATAACTAAATGTAAGACTTTAGATTTTATTTAAATGATCTTTATACATACACACAAACAGAAAAGAAATTGTCAAAACTAAAAGCTGGAAATTTTGATAGGTAAAAGAAAAATCGTAAATAATCTTATAGATTTTGAATAATGAATTTGTATTTAAATAATCTAAAATTTAGAAATTCATTTACGAAAGAAAAATGTGAACATTGTGATTATTGATAGGGTGACTTCTTTAAATAAATTTTTTTTCTATTTTATGAAGCGATAATCAATGATAATTGTCTTTGTTAATTAATATTGTTTGAATTTTATATAATATTAATATTGGTGCCGTTTGGTGAGCTGATTCTTACCAATTTTTATTCAATCGCTTGATGAGGCAAAAAGCTAGTAAAATTTGCATCGACAGAGGTAATTTTGACATTATGTAAATTATGTAAATCTAACAGATAATCGGTGCCAAAAGCCGCTTAAATCGGCTAAGTAGACCGTCACAATAAATATGTTAATCTGTAAGTACTTTTAGAACAAAATTGAGATGGAAAAGTATACATCTCTGAGTATCAGAGTTCTAAAGTACTCCCCGTTTTACATATAGCTCTCGGATCCTTTTTATGTACTCGGAATGAGAGAGTAGTAGTGCGGCAACTAGGCTCGTTAGGAACGTAACGTCTTAAGTGACTCATAATTAGTGCAAATACGCGCCTTTATTGTTATTAGACAGTAAGTATTTGAGCTATCGTCAAGCAAGCAACATAATCGGGAGTGAAGTATGGAAAAAACGTATATTATGCCGTTATAAAGTTGTTCCCATTCAAGGAAAAAGAGTTACGACCATAATGAATGACTCCTGTCTGGGAAAAATCATGATGAGAGTATAAATAAATTAATTGAAAACCATGAAGAATCTATTCGTCTTGATGGTGAATATATTGAAAAGGAAAAATAATTTGGTTTTTTTTTTCTTTCACACCTGAACCTCATTAAATTTGCGATGTCCGCCTTGATACTTTTTAAGAAATGCGAGGGAACTACAGTTTTTTCTAGTCCAGTCCCGAACGCCCGCAGCATTTTTATGAGGAGCTTTGATTTTCATTTTAGAAATACACTTGCAGAGCTTGACGTTTAAATAAACTTTCTATAATATTGGATGTTTGGTCGCTCGCTTTATTATTTTAACTTTTAACGGATAAAATTTCATTTATCTCGGTCAAAGGTTGCTCTAAATAGTAATAGTAATATTTAGAGATGCGCAACAAAGCACAGGATCACAGCTGGTATGAAACATTAAGCATTTTACTCACCGATTTCCCCAATCGATACGCGACACAACCAATGTTTGCAATTCCAAAGTTTGATCCTGCGTCAGTGTGGCCCCCAATAGTTCGCGGCGGCACTCCAATATGGATAACATTACCTTGCGCAGTGTGTGGAATTTATATGTTTCGCGATCCTATTGAAACAGAGAAAAATTGAAACTAAATATTAGATTTGTAAAAGAATATTATTTTTAATTATACAAACCACAAAAAGTTTCTTCCATATTTCCGACCATTCACGCAGTACTTGTGTACACTCGGCAACAACGGGATCAATTTTCGACAGATCCTTAATGTGTATATAGGTTTTGGGAAAAATGCCGACAGCACGAGATTTACGCGCACATGTACCGCGATACCAATTTTTGCACTCTTCCAAGATTTCGACAGAGTCGCCAACGTCGATCGGGAGACCATAACGGACATCACCATTCCAATTGTGAATAGCTGTAATTGTAAAAAATATAACTTAAGGAAACTTTCAATTTAATTTAACTTTTAAATTATCATAACTGTATAATGGAGGGACCTACGATTTATATTAAGCCGCCAAGAACGATCGATGGAATTTTAGGAGGAGACTTAATTTAATGCCAGAAATACACTCCGTTGGCTTGACATTCCATGCATAGGGGCGACCGCAATTAAGAAAATTTATTTCCTATTATTTTGGATATTGGTCGAACCAGGACTTGAACCCTGGTCTTTAGAATGGCAGTACGTAATGCTAGCCACTCGACCATTGCGGCCGCATTTCACAATACGATGGGAATATTCTGATTATAAGCTTTGGTAATAATAGCATGGAAAAAATCTCTTTGCCTTAAGTATTGTCATTGTTGTAAAACCCCGCTTAGAAGCAGGCAACTCGGGTCTAAATCAACGGATCCAGCAAATGAGCAGTTTCGGAGGATCTGGATTAGAGGGAAAGGAAAGGTTTCTGGTGGCATGCATACAGGTGGTTAGTTTCGCGCGGAGTTCTACGAAGGGTACGTCGGGGTCAATTCTAGCTAGGTAGAAGTTAAGTTGACTAAAATATCTTAATGATCTTCATTGTTACAGTAATATTCGGATCTCTCGAGGTAGCTCTTTGTCACAACAAATTCGACTGGGGGTCAGAATCTAGGTTAGGTTTAGCACTACTCTTTTCTCTTCAGCCTTATGGCTAGGTTAAGGTGGATTGTGAAACTTCCTGTCTAATTTTTTGATACGAAATAATAAAAACGTTTATGGAGGTCATCAAACCGAATTACGAAACAAAGAGTAATCCGAAAAATTAACTATGATCTCAGCTTTCTAATAACGTTTGCCACAATCGGCTCTATGTGCATCTTAGTGGTATGCAGTGGATTTACCACCTTCTGCTACTGATGCTGCATTTGAGGAGCCTAATGAATTTCTTTAAGCTCTTTAAGCGTCTTATAGCATTTTACATAGAGACCCGGGAAAAGGGTCCTGAAAGTTCAAAAACCTAATTCTACTTAAATTAAGTTTGTATACTTTTCTTATAAACCTATAGACTTAATAATAAAACTCACATTGGTTAAAGAACTGTTTCATTAGAAAGTTAACTTCAAATTGAAAAAACTGTTTGTCTTCGCATTTAATTAAGGTATCGAAAAATAAAGAGTCCTTCTTTAGTTATTTCTTGCAAACTTTTCTCATCCCACCCGATACATTGTGGGAAGTTCTAGGAAAGCTGGCTTACTCATCGTTAGTGTGAGAGCGAAATTACACATATGTACATATTTTCTTGCTCGGTTGGACTCCAAACAAGTCCCCCACTTCACTTTCCAAAGATAATTTTGCTCACCCATATTCAATAGTAGTACAGTTCGATGTTCCGATGCTCCGAGTCCGCCCAATTCCTGAACATTTTCTTCGAAGATATGCTCGAAACAATCCAAATTTATCTCAAGAATTTTAAGTGTGGGTACGTGGAAACTCTTTATGAGAACCGAAACTTTATTGCACTGCCTTTCAGTTTTTTCATTCGAAAGTCAAAACTTTAAGTCGAACATTGGGGCGCGCTTTGCTTTCGCTTATACTGTCTAGGCGCGTTTGAGGTGATATATACAATAATATATATCTCAAACAGAGAACATAAAGACATTTATTGTCTTGTAGGTTCTACTCGTATTTCCTACTACCTTAATAATGTGGCGAAAAAAATTTATTATTTTTGAGGTAAGCGTACCCGTAAATTTCACGGATCACGTAGGTATAGAAAAACCAATTTTAGTCGATCCAAAGGCAAATCTTTGTCTATTCTAACCATATCTTATAATTAAATTTTTTACTAGATTGCCACCTTATTGTACGTCGATTTACCTTGTATATGGGAAAAGTTATGCCAAGGGATCTTTGCCTGGTAAATTGACCTGCGGTCCAGTTTTTTTATGCCCTAAGAAAGCAAATATTTGGTAGTTCGTTCTGAAGGATCATCGCTAGTAAAGATCGACAACTATTTATCAAGGTTGGTTCTAAGCGAGACTGTCTTTACAATGCGCCTTAACTCACGATACTTCACTTTGTGTTCGGCGTCTCCAACAGAACCTGTCTCCTGGAATTTTTCATGTAATCTCTTTACTTAGACAAGCGCTTAACCCGCAGGCGACACATTTCCGCTAAAAAGCTGATGTTTAACTCAAATCTGCCAGTTTATATTGGGTTATAAACAAGAAGTCTGGAATAACACGAATATGATGTATGGAATCTAGCTATGGGGCACAGCTTGCGCAACGAATATAGATACAATTCAAAGGTTCCAACCGAAAACGTTAAAAATAATAACGGGCGCACCATGGTACATACGTATCAATAGAAAAAATGTCATCTAAATAAGCCCACCATCACAGAAGAAATCGCAGCACAAAAGTACTTAATAAAACTGCGTTACTAACCGAGCCCTTGAAGACACGTTTATTTGTAGTGTAGCAATGTTATTACTAAGCCTAAGCTGTCAGCTGTCAACGCCAGTAATAGTCGAGTGGTTAACATTGCGTATTGCCATTCGGAAGGCCAGGGTCTAAATCCTGATTCAACCAAAATCCAAAAGTTATAGAAAATTAATTTAAATAAAAAATTATTAAGTGAGATTTTCCAATTGCAAATTGGAGGAAGAGCTCGGCTGAAAACGGCTTCAGCGGTTACAAAACACCAATTATATAAATATTTGGGGTAGTAAAAATAGATCCATTATTTTTTTGCATGAAATTTAATGGTTTAATTTTTTCTTTTCTTATCCAACCTAATTGAAATGGTTCCAAACGGTTTTTTGTGCAATCTTTAGCTCTTGGGCAATCGACACAGTGCTTACATCACGGTTGGACTCGACAATGTCCATGATTTTATCGACATTTTCGACAATTGGCCTTTCAGTGCGTGGTGCATCTTTGACATTACCGCAAGGGAAACGACGAAACCAAAACTGCTAGGGATTGACTGTATCAGGGCCATAAACGCTATTCATCTGTTCAGAAGCCGGGCTTGCGTTTTTGACCTTATCAAGGAAAAACTGTAAAGTATAGTGTATTTTATCTTTGCTAGTGTCCATCTTTGACGCACGCTCAAACAAAACTGTATTAACCAAACAAAAAACTATCCGAAAAGCTTTCTTAGTACGAAATGTCATCTTTCTAACGCCACCTAGTAGAACCCGATCGGCTTTACACAACGCGGGATACAGATAAATTACGCCATGTATTGGAAAAATAAAGAAAATTTTTTTACTAAACCTAATTTATATACGAGTATATATATATAAATTGTCCGCTGTAGATTTGTTTTTTTAGGGTTGTTGATCGGGTCAGAACGACGAGTTGAGTTGATTTAGCCATGTCCGTTTGTTCTGTCTAAAATTAGGTATTTCGCGCACTACGATTTTTTTTCAGATATGAGGCTTAGATCGAAACTCCGTCAAAAAAGTATGGAAATGTATGAAATTTGGTACTATACAGAGTGATTTTTTTGCTATTCTCTTTTTGGCAACACTGGTTTAAACAGCTAACGCACGTTTCGTGTTTTGTATTACAGTTAAAAGTGTTTAGTTTGGTCCATAATTTGACCATGAATCGTCTTACAAACGAACAACGCTTGCAAATGATTGAATTCCATTATCAAAATGTGTGCTCTATTAAGAAAGTTCATCGCTCGCTTCTTCCGCGCGCGCTTCAAAGCTCATTTTTGGCTTAATGGGTGCGTAAATAAGCATAATTGACGATTTTGAAGTGAAGATCAGCCAGAAGCATTGCAAGAGCTACCAATGCATCCAGAAAAAGTCACAGTTTGGTGCGGTTTATGGGCTGGTGGCATCAGTGGACCGTACTTCTTCGAAGATGATGATTGACTTGCATGTCATGTGATTTCAGACACACAGCACGCGTAATAATGAACTTATTGAGAATCGAGTTCGGTGAACATTTTATTTATCATTCGGAACGGGTTAATTGGCCGTCTAGATCGTACGATTTAACGCCTTTAGACTATTTTTCGTGTTAAATTTAATGTCTTTATAGACAAGCCCGCTCCAATTGACGCAGCGGAGGACAACATTGAAGCATTTGTTTGTGAGATACTAGCTGAAATGTTGGAAAGAGTATGCCAAAATCGGTCTAAGCGGATGGACCATTTGAGACGCAGTCACGGTCAACATTGGCATGAAATAAACTTAAAACATTCAATTACATGAGCCGTACTAACGATTCAAATAAAGATTTCATGCATTTTTCAGAATTTTATGTGTATTTTTTAAACTTTCCTATAGCGCTTAAAAAATCACCCTTTATATTCGGAAATCGGTATAAAGACTGCGGCATGGCCGAAGACAGCTCTTCTTTTGTTCTCGATTTCTAGTAAAACTAAACTAAAACCCAAGCCAAACAACGATTAAATATTGTTATCGCTAAGAACTGACGAATAGTAAAACTACGCAAGAGATCCACGGTGATTTCGGTATGCTTATAATAAATATTTCATTCAAAAACTCAGATAGAACAATACATGTAACATATATATGTGTGTATGTATGTAACATACATACGTATGTATATGCATATATGTTCAACAAAGTATGTAATTCTTTCCCTGTTGCTTTTCATACTTCCGCCTTTTTACGATATACGAGTAAATTCGAATGCCTACATACATACGCACAAATAAAGCTTCAAATGCTACTCTCTGCGATTTGTTTAGTCAATAGTTCGTTTGATTGGGATTTTGGCTCAACGATCCGATATGTATTTATTAAACGCACATTAATTATTTTCACTTGTAAAGCATTTCACTTGAGTGAAGCTGTGCACAACAACAACAGCAAGAGTTAATGTACATATGTAAGCTGTGGCAAACTGAGTGATGAATCAACGCAGCTCAAAGTACATGAAATTAACAAAACAGAAGCTGCCAAATGTAAATATGTATGCAAGTGTATATATATTTAAGTATGA